AAGACACAGGCATAAAACTTTTAAGATGTGTGGGTAGTTATTATGAGGATGATGTGTCTTGAGGACTCAACGCCCAGGCAAATTTAAAAATAAGCAGGTTTCCAATGTCTAAGGATGGGCCAGTCTTGGAGGTTATTGAGTAAAAAGTCAACACCGTAAAGTCAATTACATTATTGACAGATACTCTTACAAGGAGATTTCACATCATAATTATATGCAAAGGAACCCAGCAAATAGAAGCTGTGTAATGAGCAGCTAATAAAAGTAACACTTCATCTATGTCAATAACAGTTTCAGAGTGAAGACAAACAAACATGGCCTTTGCCACTCAGTGGAGGGGAAAAAAAAAATCCCTGAAAGACAAATATTTTCACTTAAGGAGAAGTCGCTTAGACTCACAAGGAAAATCTGTCACACAAAGGAGAGTAGGAAACTGGTCTTTAGTGGGTGCTAATGACTCTCCTGCCTGCCCTGGGCCTGAGCTGAAAAGACTGGGGCAGCAACCCCTGTAAACATCTGAGCACACACAGAACGCTTGGGCACTGCCACGCCATCTGGGAGATAACATTCTGTGTTGTCGTCTCTCCTGGACCGCTTTCCTTTCAGCCTTGGCTCCGTTTAGGTTCCACTGACATGCGGCCAAATTAAAAAATGTTAAAAGTATGATGAATGTGAAAATGCAAAACAAGATTTTTTTTCCTCGAGCACTTACTTCTTAATGGGTTTTATAGACACTGATTAGGCAAATGCCTCCACAGCTATGCTCGCGTTCCTTCTTTCCAAAAGCAGTGTCTACTACTTGCCCTACAAAAAGAGGGCAAAGACATTACAAGCAAGTGCCCCTCATGTTCTAGAGCTTACTACCCCGCTTCCCCTAATTTCCCTTAAAAATGAGGGGGGCAAGTTCAGAACTGGTATTTGGACAACTAACTGCTAATGCACAACGGGGTTCTTTACTGGTTATCTCTATTTTTTTTGGGGGGGGGGTGGACAGAGTCATGCTCTGTCACCCAGGCTGGAGTGCAATGGCACAATTTCAGCTCACTGCAACCTCCACCTCCTGGGTTCAGGCAATTCTCCCATCTCAGCCTCTTGAGTAGCTGGGATTACAGGCACATACCACCATGCCCAGCTAATTTTTGTATTTTTAGTAGAGATGGTGTTTCACCATGTTGGTCCAAGGCCAGTCTTGAACTCCTGACCTCAGGTGATCCACCCTCCTTTACCTCCCAAAGTGTTGGGATTACAGGCGTGAGCCACGGTGCCCGGCCTCTTTACTGATTATCTCTATGTAAATGTAACTGTTGCACATTTCACCAAAATGATTTTGCTAAAAACTACTAATGATACTCAGGAAAGTCACTCTCTAATTAGACTCTACATGCTTTTGTAGTGCACAGACATGAAGCGAGCTGTGCCATTACAAAGCTATTGCTACTCAGTCTCAAACCCACCCTTCAACTCTGTTTCCCATGCTGGGGCTGGGGTTGGGGCTGGGGCTGGACTTTACTGCCAGGCTCCATGTGAGGCTCTGCCACCAGGGGGGTGCCATAGAGAGACCAAGAGGGTGGTGGAGAAAGTTGGAACTGGCTCCTGCCTGTTTCTTGTTCCTGCACCGCCCCAGCAATGCCTCCGCACCTCACAGCAGCATTCATTCCTGTGTTGCCAAACCCAGTTTGAGTTTTTCCAGCACTTGCAGAACTATATTCCATTAGAGGCCACCAGCACCATCAGAGGCCGTTTCCTTCGAGGTCTGGTTCCGAGCCCCCGCCCCCTGTGCAAAGGTGAGTTTCAGCTTCATGGGACGATCATTCCAACCTCTTCCCTTTGGTCCCTCAGCCCTAGAGGTGGTTAGCTGCCTCCTGCAATTACTCTCTCCGTGACACCCTGAGTTCTTTTTATCCTTTCAATTACCTGGTTAATAACTTCCTACTTGGTTCATAGGTTTGTTTGCTTTTTAATCATTTTCATTTTTACATGATCTCACTCTGTTGCCCAGGCTGGACTGCAGTGGAGCAATCTCAGCTCACTGCAGTCTTGACCTCCCAGCTTCAAGGGATCCTCCCACCTCAGCCTCCCCAGTAGCTAGGACCACAGGTGTGTGCCACCACAACCAGGTGATTTTTTTGAAAAATAGAGACAGGGTTTCACCATGTTGCCCAGGCTGGCCTCAAGCTCCTGAGCTCAAATGATCCACCCGCCTCGGCCTCCCAAATGTTGGGATGACAGGCGTGAGCCACTGTGTCCGGCCTCAGCTAATTTTTAAAACTTTGTAGAGCTGGGGTCTCCCTATGTTGCTCAGGCTGGTCTTGAACTCCTGGCCTCAAGTGATCCTCCCACCTCAGCCCTGCAAAGTGCTGAGATTACAGGCATGAGCTACCACACCCAGCGCTGGTTAACAGAAAGGCATTAAAATCTCTCTGTTCAAATACCTGGTGTGGTTTCTGTCTCCCTACTGGACCTATCTGATACACAAGTTGGCTCAGAGGCTGTTTTGTTTTCTTTCACTTTGGAAGGAGCGCAGCTGGGGCACTCACTGGACTAGCTGAGCAGCAACTCTCAACAGAAACAAGACTGTGAGGCTCTGCCACCAGGGGGTGCCATAGAGAGACTGAGAGGGTGGTGGGGAAAGGGCACTGGCTCCTGCTGCAGCACTTGGTTATTTTCTAACCAGAAAGAAACCATCGGTAGGTGTTTCTCAACACCTCAAGGGGGTACTAACCAGTAAACTTTGTCATAACAAATGCTATGGGTAAGAATGAAAACGAGAAGGCAGCTCCTGTGGAAGGTCAACCTTCTGCCTGGCTTTTCCATGCCCTTCTACAAGGCATGGCTGGTCCCATAATGAAAACTACTCTTGAAGGCACTTAAAAAAAAAGGGGGGTCGGCCGGGCGTGGTGGCTCAAGCCTGTAATCCTAGCACTTTGGGAGGCTGAGGCGGGTGGATCACGAGGCCAAGAGATCGAGACCATCCCGGTCAACATGGTGAAACCCCGTCTCTACTCAAAATGCAAAAAATTAGCTGGGCATGGTGGCGCGTGCCTGTCATCCCAGCTACTCAGGAGGCTGAGGCAGGAGAATTGCCTGAACCCAGGAGGCGGAGGTTGCGGTGAGCCGAGATCGCGCCATTGCACTCCAGCCTGGGTAACAAGAGCGAAACTCCGTCTCAAAAAAAGAAAAAAAAAAAAAAAAGGGGGGGGGGTCAAGAGGATAAACTGTAAGTCTATATTTAGAATCTGCTAATAAAAATACATTGCTGCTCCAAGCAAAAATAACCTACAGCCTGAGTCTTCTCAACCAAAAAGGTAAACTAGGAGGCAAGACGGGAAAGCTTTCAAAAAAGAATGAAAAACAGAGTGTGTCTTTTTCAGAAACGTGAGGCCAGAGCATCGGTATTTTGGCTTCATGGGAAGAGGCTTACCACTTAGGAACTCAAGAATGACTGACCTTAGAGTAGCCAGGGAAGACGCCGGAGAGGTACGAGAGGAAGATCCTATCCATGTAGTTTTGGAAAATATTCCCTGGTCAGATTAGTAGAAGTGAGTGGTTTTATGATCAGTTATTATTCCAACTGCTAACAACTTCCTGCCTTATCAGAAGCTATAGGCTTTGGTCTGCTCTCAAGATGATGCAACTTGGTCCTGATAACAGCAGGAGGAGTTAAAAGACAAGTTCATGGAGAAGCTGCACATGGCAGGGGAGTCTGACCTTGCTTCTCTCTCAGGCCCAGCTAAACAGACTTTGATCGGTAAATGCAGAAGGAGAGGGATGGTACCTTCAAGGGTTACAGCTCAGGGAGACAGGCTTTTTCTAAACAAGCAATCAGGGCCTGGCACCTGCAATAGTGATGAGGCATCAGCCATCTGGGTGAGACCTAGCCCTCATCCTCAGGAAACAAAGCGCCCAGGACAGAAAGGGACACACAGAGAAACTGCTACCGTACAGGGTCACTCACTGAAGGGCTACACCAGAGCCTGGGGTTCACGGCAAAGGGAAGTTTCTCTGATGCTGGCTCCCAGACCACGTTCAAAAAAGCGCTGGGAGGGGATCAACTTTGTGCCAGGTCTTGAAGGATGCGCTGCCGTGCAGATGAGGGTGAGGGGCATGTGCACCGAGAAAACTGTGTGAATAAGATGCGCCAATACTGGGCATATTTGGGGAACACATTTGGCTCGAGGAGAAGGAAGGACTGGCGGGAATGTCAGGGTGATGCAGGGGCAGTCACAGAAGGTGCTTCTGCAGACGACTGGTGGGGCACCGTGTTAGGAAACTGGGCTGACAGCGGTGGACAGATGGGCAGGGGTGGGTGGAGAAGCAGCTGGCGGATGGGAAGAGGCTCCAGCAATGGTGCCTGTGAGGGTCCCAGCTGGCGGTGGACCCTGATCCGGGGCTGGCAGCGGAGATGGAGAGCATGGAGGAGAGAAATGTCCCAAGGAAGGGTTCATGCGGTTTGGCAGCTGACCTCATTCTTGGAAGCAGGGGAATGATGCCACCTGCTATTTATAGACCATGTACCAAAGCTCGCCTCACATGTGATTTTGCATTTGATTTTCCCTGCAACCCCTGGTAGGAGGCAGGAGTTTCACAGATGAGGGGACTGAGGCCCACAGAGCTTGGACACCAGCCTAGAGTCACAGGACAGGGGAGGGACAGGGCTGGGTCTAGCGCTAGACCCGTTAGCCTAAAGGCCAATGAACATCTTGACTTCCATTTCCTTCTACCCACCTCTTACTCTGCTTTCTTAGAATAAGAAACTTAATTTAACTTGCTCCCATTTCCTCATCTGTAAAGAGACCCGGATCATCTGGTGGCCCGAGAAAGAGATGGTAGCATTTGGATTGGGAGTTCTTGGGGTTACTTTCATATTTCTGAGCACCTGAACCAGGTTTATTGCTGTCACTAGTTCAAAGCAGAGCCTTTCTGTCTCCAGAAGAGGACCCGTGGACAGAACGCTGCCCTTCCCACCCCCAGGCTGGCTCTGCCCAGCACACTCCCCTTACCTCATGGCCGCCGTCACCCCAATGGGAGTGATGGGGAGCGGCCGCACGCCAGGAAACAGGCCTCGGCTCAGGACTCGCGCTCCGTTTTGGATCACTCCTGGAGGAACTGAAAAAGCAAAAGGGAGAAAGACAGCACCCGTGAATTCAACTGTGAAGACTTCCGTCCTAAGTCAGAAATTCTGGATAGACCAATGAGAGAGAGAGACGCACAATAGAGCAGAGAACATGCGTGGAGCAGAGACAGAGGGAAATACACGTGTGCCCACACACGCAGAGACACAAATGTGTGCACACATGCACATACAGACACACACGCAGAGACACAAATTGTGCACACATGCACATACAGACACGCACGCAAAGATACACACGAAGATACATGTGCACACACACACACGTGCGTGTGCCTGCACACACAGGCATACACACACAAGTACACACAGACACAGTCACACACAGACACCTACGCAGACACACCTGCACACACACACATGAGGAAAGAGAGACAGAAAGATACACAGAGAGTAAGGCAGACAGAAAGATAATCCGGTAAGTAAAGACTAGTAGCTCACAACCAAAGGATTGATCCCTAGGTTAAAAAAAAAAAAAGTCTTCAAAAGTAGGCTTCAGATACTGTTTTCTCACATTTATTAAACAGAACCTTTTACATTGTTTCAGACCCTAGCAACATCTCAAAAACCCCAGCACCGTAGGACAGACACCAGGTCACCAAACAAAAGCACCTCCCCACGCTTCTCCACGTGGTCAGAAGCTGAGAACACCTTCCCGTTTGTCCTTAATCCAACAAGGGGAAAATATGACCAAGCTGTCTCTTACAAAAGCCTATTTTACAAGCTACTTGGCATCTCAGCATGCACCACACAGTGCATCCCCAAGGGGATTTTCGTGGCCTGAGAAAAGGCCTCTCCCCAGGGTATCCCTCTCAAGCAAATCTCCTGAAAAATCTCTCCTCATTCCACCTTCTCCTAAACACACGCATCCCCCAAGCAACCCTCAGCCCCTGCTTTCACCAGAGACTATGAGATCTTGTCCATTCTCCATACAAACTCCAAGGATCTCTACACCAATCTAATTCTGTCTGAGGGTTACCTAAGAGGAGAACCACAGGGAATCCCTGATGTAACCTTTTCTGACCTCCCAAACAGCAGTTTCATTTGGTTCAAGCTACTATGCTGTCTTCTGCTACATCTACCAAAAATCCTCCCTGCGTCTGAGGGTCCAGGAAAGCGCCACTGAGAACACGGGCGAGCTTTAATCTGAGTTCTCCTTGCATGACTCTGTGCAAGTCTCTGGATCTCTGTTTCCCTCTCTGAACGCTGTTCTCCCAAGACCCTGTCTGCCATCATGGGTTCAAGACTCCCCAGAGCCCTGGCTGTGCCCATGTATTCCCTGGCACAGTCTCAGATAGCAGCAAGGTGGATAAACAGCGCTTTTTCAAACAAAGACCACCGAAAAGCCTCTAGAAAATTATGCATTCAAAAACGAAAACCACTTTGGACACTAGGTGTGAAAGCCAGTATTATATAGGTAGAGTAAATGCTTTTCATAAAACACATTGTCATACATACTTTTTACTTACGTAATTTTTAGGTGTCTAAGAACATGTTTTCAAATTTTAATCGAACAGCACGTAGGACGAACGTCCACTCTGGAATATGGGGTAATTTTACAGCCTGCCAATTCCTTGGGTATTCTGCACCTCTTACTTAGAATTTTTGCCATTTATTTTCCCGCTTTGTGTAAGGCCTTTGTTTCTAGGTCTTACAAACGGTGGGATGGGTGACAGAATGGAAACTCTCGTCTAAGTCGGTTCTACGATTACCGTCCAGTGTTCCATAATCTCCCCCGTTACTTACCCTAATTAACTGTGAGAGCAGGCAGACCTAGATCAGTAACTCTTGCCATTCCTGATGATTGGCCCGATTTCTACTAACAGACCACCTTATCTGAGGCAGTGTCTTTAAATCATGGAACAGTTATAATGTGGTATGCAGCGAATTATGATGTCTTACACAGTTGATGAATTCTCTATAAGGAAGAATGTCTAAAGTTTGTATTACCTAATTTATCTTATCTGATTTCAAGACTTCCTATAAAGTTACAGGAACCAAGATACTGTGGTACTGGCGTTAAGTCTAGACATACAGACCAATGGAACAGAACAGAATTCGGAAATAGACTCACACATATGTGGCCACCTGATTTTTGACAAGGGTACCAAGACAATGCAAAGAGGGAGAAGCGAGTGTTAGAACAACCAGAGATCTGTTTGGAGGAAAAAATGAACCTTGAGCCTTACATCTCATGCCACATGTAAAAATTAGAAACGTATCATAAACCTCAAAGTTGGAACTAAAATTATAAAACTTCCAGAAGAAAACAGAGGAGGAAAAATAGCAGTAATTCTCAAGGACAGACATATGTAGAAGACAGCAAAACATTGGTAGAAACATGCTTTGGATGAAATGTATGTATGTTGCCTAAAACGATAGGCACTTTTTTTATTTTTTGTGCCTGTTTTGGGGATTGTGGGAGAGGGCTTCCATGATTTCGGTGTACGGCAGTCTCCTAGAAATGGTCAGATAGCCACAGGTTAAGCAGAATTCTGATCTAACATATTTGTGACTAAGGATCTCACGTAGAGCAGCAACTTAGTCTGATATAATGAACCAGGCTGATAAATAAATATTTAAAATCTCTAATACAGTTGTAATTCTTGTCAGTAAAAATTATTACAGTCCCATATACAGACACAAAAACGTTTACCAAGTACTTTTCTATGTATTAGATGATGGGGATATAAGGTAACTACCGGCAAGAGGGAAGTGGGGAGAGAGAGAGAGGGAGCAAGACAGACAGAGAGAGAGACGGAGAGGAGGCAATGAAAACACTATGGTAAGTGCTAGGACAGGGGGCCTACGAAGATATTTTTTTTTCCCCCGAGACAGAGTCTTGCTCCGTAGCCCACGCTGGAGTACAGTGGCACGAACCCGGCCTCCATCTCCCCGTTCCCAGTTCAAGCAATTTTCCTGCCTCAGCCTCCCCAGTAGCTGGGATTATAGGTGTGTGCCACCACGCCCAGCCGGGATTTTTTAACAATGCACGATGTGCTCAAGGAACTAAAAGGTTGCTTTGCTACAGCATACAATCCCAGCAGAAATGAGATGTGTTTGGGCTTTATCCCATGGGTATTGGGAAAGCCATTAAGGGGCTTTGAGCAGAGCAGTGCCCTGCGCTGCAGCAGCTGACAGCCAGGCTCTGGAAACCAATCCAGGTCTATATCCCATCTCTGTCAATTACTGACCGTGTCCCCTGAGCAAGCTACTTAAACTCCATAAGTATTTACCCAGGGTCTCTGGAGGCTTCACTGAGTTAATGAAGGCACAAGTATTTGGAAAATGCATGTTAGTTATCAGTATCGTCATCATCGATGTGACCGACATCCAGAGAGGAATCCTGAGGCGGCCCAGCCCATGCTTTCTCCATTTCAGATGAGCTTAAACCCGTAAGAAACAGAATGAGACAGAAGCCAGACCGGGCTGGAAGAACGTAGCCATCTTCCTGGTGACAGAGTTGCTGGAACAGCAACAGCTGGTGCTATGACGGGTCTGTTCCCTTTGTGCATAGCGTATCCTATCAGAGCCACCCTTGCAGCAAAAACACCCGAGACACATAAAGTTGGACAAAGATGATGGAAGCCCTGGAATGGGAACAGAGCAAATGCAAGTTATGGAGCCCATGTTCTTCTTAACCCTGGCAGGGCCGTCAAGTCATCTGCCAATCAAGGAAGAAATGCACTTTTGGGGACAGTGTGGCATGACAGAGTCCTCTGCCCAAATGCTCAGAACCTGTAAGAACCAGGGGTATGCCCGGCATAGAGGAATACTAGGAGAGGAAGCCAGTCCTCACCAAGTTCCTACCGGAGACCATGTGCTTTGGATGCTCCTTGTCTCACGGAACGCTCGGGGAAGAGGTATATCGTAGCGGTCAGGAGTGTGAGCTCTGAGCAACACAGCTTCAGTCCAGCCTTGCCTGGTCACTGGCTCTGGGGCCTTGGCCTAGTGCCTTCACCTTCCTGTGCCTCCATTTCCTCACTGGTGAAGCAGGCTTAAACATACCTTGTAAGATTGCTTTGAGGATGAAATAAGATAAGCTACGTCAATTGCTTAGCTCAGTGGCTGACCCGTTATGTAAGCTCATCATCATCTTCGTCATCGTCATCCTTCCGCCGCCCCACGCCACCTCTCCGGCATCCTCTTACTAATAATCTACAAGGCACAGGGCTGAATGGGGTCAGGACATGGGGAAACACTTTCAGCCCATTATGCTTTTTGTAGTTATTCCTAACTCTGCATTTACCTATTAAAACATCTTCCTGATTAATGAACTGTGTTCACTTCAAAGAGAATGTGATGGACAAAGCTATCTTGCAGCATTAACAGGCTTTCCCTGAGCTGTTTCCTGAACCTCACAGACTTCTGGCACGTAGACTCAGCTCTACCTCTGAATCCTGCAGCTCCTTCTCAAATGAGCTGCAACTAAATGCTGCCTCTGCCAACCCTGGCACCTCTCCATCCTCATCATTGGCAGTGTTCTCCATGGAGAGACGGCGGATGTGTTCGTATTTGCTCACCAGCTGCCAGAAGCCAGCTGTGACACTTAACTGTACCCCTGTCTTTTCTCCTTTCAGACCCCATTCCCACGGGTCAGGAACGTGGCTTCTGAAGAACAAGTCACAGCCAGTCCAAAATGGCTGTGTTGGAGAAAGGCATTCTGAGGTCCCCAGTTCACTACTCTGCATTAGGAAGCTCGGTGGGAACGCGAGTCCATTCTTCAGCCCTTTCTCTACCAGCACATCTCCTCCTTCCCTTCCTTTTACTCTCTGTTTCCCTCAAAGCGTATCACGACACAGAAAGACCGAAACCTTTGCAGCCCATCTGCTGCACCTGATGTACTGAAATGCACTGGCCTCCAGCTACGTAAGACATCAAAAGGGCTGGACGTTCAAAGTCAACTTCTCCCTTGGATTTGTGGCTCTCTCCAGATAAGCCCCAGGCCTCCAGCATCATCCTTGTAGGTTAGGCCAGTTACATATTCATCTTTTAGAGCAGAGAATGTCCACCTCTGAGGCTCTCAGGATGCAGGGATATCAGCGGCAGACTTCTCCACACTTGCCATCAGCCACGTTCTCTGCCATTAGAGAGGGGCTCTAAGCTTTCTGGTTTCAACTAGCAAGAAGGCAACCTTCACACATAAGAAGAGAGGCAAACAGAGCGGCACCGCTCGCGGTAGATACCGTGATGTAAATGGGGTAACGCAATCCTGAGAATCTTAAAAAAAAAACGTCTAAGGTCCAAGACAAACTCTCCGCGCTACATCGCCCCTCAGCACTTCCCCGGCTCCCCTACGGAGGCTTAGCTTCCTTGGTTTTTCCCAACTTCTAAAATTAACCTCTGAGCTCCTGCCGAGGGCAGCCCTGGCTAACTCTCTCAGAGGCCATAAGCTGAGCAGCAGGTGGTTCCCTAAGCCTTCCCTTTCCTCAAGTCGGCCATTCCACCTGCTTACTCGGAGGCACGCTGGGGAGGGGCTGGCACAGGAGGACACAGCCTATTTCCGGGCTGTGTTCGTTCTGCTGTGCCCGGGGTGTCTGACATATATCCCAGTCCCAGGCAGGGGGAGGAATGCCTGCCTCCGATCCTCCCTGTCCCTCGTTCCATTTCGTTATTGTGTTTATTATCTAGAGTTTGTCTCAGGGAACCTTCCAACCAGGGATTACATAAGCCTTTGAAGATGAGTAATGGTGATCTGGCTTCTCCTGACTTAATAACAAGCCCTCCATTGGGGTTAAAGCTGACTCACAGGGCTTGTCAAAGGGGAACTGCAAAGCAGGTACTTAAGGAGATACTAGAAGCTGGAATTCGTCTCCACCGCCATTTTTTTGTGTCTGTGTGGGGAGGATGCGGTGGGTGGGCGGGTGGATTTGACTGGTGCCTAATCCAAAGTCCAGGAGGTAATGAGCCAGCCGTGCCCCACACTGTTCTGGAAATCGCATCCTATAGAACTCGTGAGACGTGGTGGCTCTCCTTGAAGAATGTTTCCTGTGCTACAAACGGGCAAAGTCTAAAGAGGCTAATGTCAGACGCACAGCGGATGCTGCCAGGGGGACATGATGTTGGAGCCTGAGGTTTTTACTAGGTGCACACTGCCACCGCACTGCAAGTGAAGCATTCAACTGAAATGAGAGGTGGAGGGACCCACAGGGACTCCAGCCCAAGCAAGACATGGCGTGCTGGGCAAGCCTGGGGCAACACGGACCCTCCAGTGATAAAGAGGCTTGCTTTTCCTGGGGCTCTCACCAGCATCTGAGCCATTTCCTTTGTGCAACCTACTCAGCTTCAGACCCTGGACTGTGGCCAGTCTGCTGGCCTTGAGCTAGCTTTACAGATGCTGAGCAAGGGTAGGAGGAAGAGAAAAGATCTAAGTGGCTGCCATCTGGTGACCTGGAGTGGCTATGAAGGGCAAGGACAAAGGAAAAGCCTTCCAGCCATCCAGGCCAGCCTCTATCTGCCGAGAGCGGATAGCAGCAGAGAGACTAGGTTGGTGGCCCCCATGCAAGCAGGGGCATCTAGTGGCCCGAGAGGTGAAAACAAGGGACTATAAATAGCAGGAGGATGCTCTATAAACAGAGCCCAGCCACAGCAGCAGCCCACGGGGGAATACAGGCAGGCTCTGCACAGACAGGAAACGTGTCGCTCTCGGCAGCCACGCTCCCTACTCGTGGGCAGTGGCAGAACCCCTCCACCTAGAGAAGACCTGGGATAGATCCACATGGGACACAGGCCCACAAACACCCCTCGCAGGCCACCCACACACCATCACCGTGGCTGGCGGGCTGTTGCCTTTAACCATTTTTGCACAGGAATCGCCTCTCACTTTTTTCAGGCCTTGGGCAATGCCAGCAGAGCAGGGGATGACAGCCTAATCATTCTGTCCATGATGCTTCTCCCTTAAGAAGGCAAAGGACTGCCTCAAATCCCAAGGCAAATAATGTTTGCAAGGTAAAATGAAAAGAGAGGTGGTGGAGGCTAGGGACATGGAGAAAGGGTGAAGCCAGAAAGAGCTAACTGCAAGCTGCAGATACAGTCCTCTGGCTGGGTTTATTAGGAGGATCGGCCAGCTGGCTTCCCAAGTGCAGAGAAGACACTCCATGCCTCTTCACTCCCTTGCTAAGGTACTGCTCCAATCCTTGGGGTCTTTACAATCTGCCCCTTGACCATGCTCGCCCTTGACCTCCAGGGGATTGAACCAGAGCTGGTGGGAAGATGGGATGGTGACTGCAAAGGTGGTGTCCCTACCCTCTGCCCAGTCTTCCCATTTACTTCTCTGTTACTCTGTCCATGAGCGGCTCCTTCCGTGACCTTTGTAGGCACCCCGGTTGTTTCCCGCCTCTGTCTTGGCGCCCCGTTCTTGGCCTGGGGCTTTCATGAAGGCTGTGGCTGGATTTCTCACAGAGTGATAATAGCCTTCTAAAAAAAAGCCTTCTAAAAATGAACCTACAGCTTCAAAACATGAACACTGAGCTTGTAAAACTCAAATTCAGCATTTCAATGTAAATAGGACTATGGCTACCCTGGAAAAAGAAGTACTTACAATTTGAGTGTTACAGAGATGGAGAGGGGAGGCGAACACCGAAAACAACTCACTTGTCTACTCATCAGGAGAAGCCTTTTCCTTTCCTACCTATGGTCAAGAATCCAGCAATCATGGACGTTTATGGAAGCTGCTGAGGATCTGTCAATGATCAATCAGTCCCCATGCCTGGCTTGGTTTCATTTCAAAGATATTCCATGCTCCAGCAGGCCTGCATCACCAGACCATTCTCCAAAATGGCAGCCTGGTGATGAGGTCCCAGAAGAGAAAGAAATTTCTAAAAATGGGTCCTGCTCAGGTCCATTATGGCTAAGCTGGCCCCACGTAGCCTCTTCCAGCGGAAGGCCATAATGCCATTTTCCCTGTCAACTTCAGCAACCAGTTGGAAGTATTTTTGCTAAACTAATGATCACCGGGTAGTTGGCTGGGTGCAAAGGAAGGTGCTCGAATCTTACATGGCTCTGATGAAATCAGTATGTTTCCACTGGGTTGAGTTATGCAACTTAATTTTAGAAATCTTTGCAGCCTGGAACTTGATTACAATCTGGTCTGTACTTTTCCTGCAATGCCATCTAAGAATGGAAGTTTATTTAAAAATTTTTAAAAAAACATACATATTTCTCTGAAATATAAAACATCATTTAAAAAACACACTCCAGGTTGACTGCTAGTTACAGAGCTAGGCCAGAGACACATGTGCTTAGCAGGGGTGTTTGCATGTCAGAGCGGTAGGCAGGCCGACATTCCAGTTGCTGGAGGCCTGAGTTTAGAAAGACAGAATCAGAAGTTTAGACCGTTCGGAACAGGTAATGGCAGCTCCAGGCAGAGGAACAAGTCTCCCTGAGAATGTTCAGCTGAATTTCTTGGGTCTTTTAAAATAGGAATAAATAAGAGAGTTTGCAGTCAAATATCCTAAAGCTGTCAGGAAGGCTGGGACAAGCAGGGGTCTATGAAGGATGGTCTTGAACGTCACACAGGCCACTACTAACAAATGGCACCTGTGTGGGTCTGAGGATGGAAACTTTCCTGTGGGAAATACCATCCACTCCAAAGGCAGGGACTTCCCACTGCTCAGCAGGCCGTGCAGCCCTCAGAGGGGCAGAACCCAAAATGAGCTGAAGGCCTAGCCATAAGAAGGAGACGGGTGGGTGCCAGCTCCTAAGCAGTGGTGTTGTAGTGGCATCTGCTGCTTCATGCCACCATTTCCACACTACTGTGTTTCATCAGTAAGAGGCTATAATGCAGCAATGTCCTGACAACAAGCTGAGCAGACCCTGGGAAGTCAGCTGTCTGTGTGTTCAACAGGGTACTGACCTCGAGTTGGGAGGAGGAAGGGACAGATCTCTTTGTTAGAAGTCATTCTTCATCCCTTGGGAAGAGATCTTTCTAAAACCATGGTAGACTAGCTCCAGAGATGGGAAAAAACCTCAGGTGGTGAAAAGAGAAGTCCCAGTGAGGAAGAGTTGTCTCAAAGCTGACATTGCTCAAGGCCAACAGAAGGTGAGGGTGGCAGTCCTACTGAGCTAAACAGCCCTGCCCTGCTATCTGGGGCAGCCTGGGAGGCTGGGTGGAAATGGTCCAAGCAGGTAGTGTGGTTTCATTTCAAAGATATTCCAGGCACTAGCAGGCCTATTTCACTAGACTCTTTTCCAAAATGGCAGCCTGGTGATGAGGTCCCAGAAAAGAAAAAAGTTTCTAAAAATAGGTCCTGCCCAGGTCCATTACGGTTAAGCTGGCCCCAAGCAGAAACTACAAATTCACAGGAGCAATTCCTGCAGGAGCAAGGAAGGCCTCTCCACTGGGACTCATTAAAGGATCTGTTTCCCTTTCCCCAAGTCTTAAGCCCTGAAATTCTATGAGAACTTTCTCATCTTGGAAACACACCTATGCATTCATTCATACATATGCATGGCTATATATTTATATGCATATGCATGTAATCATGCACGTATGTAGCTTTTAAAGTGACTCTATAAGGGAAGTTCTACTTTAGCATTAGTTCTTCCTATGACCTGGTATATAAATAAGAAGGTTAAATTCACAAACTATGGTGCTGTAGGCTATAGAAATATCTACTCACAACCTGCTTGTATCTCAGGGGGAGTATTCAAAAGCATCATGGCACTGGCAGCATCAATGTCAGGATCTGGAAAAATCAACCAATAAATAACATTATTTACAACGGGGCCGGTGTGTGTGTGTGTGTTTTTCCCCCTGCAAGTTACAGTTTATGAATGCGACAGAGAAAAAAAAAATATCCAGGAACTAGATGAGCTATCCCAAAGGTGACTTTCTTCCCAGTGGGGTTTGAGAAGAAGGACAGGTATTCTAGAATGAGATTTAAGGATCATGTTAGCAAATTTTTCATCACACAGGCATAGTCTCTTCTCGTTTTGTTAATTTTGTAATTTGCACTGTATGTTCCTGATAAACTGCTGATCTAGGCACCCCCACAGCTTTTACCCTGGAATGAGGAGCAGGAGAGTCAGTGACAATAAGAAGTTCAGCCATAGGAATCTTTAATGAACTGGGGAAAGCTCACAGCATCAAGAAAGCATTAAATACACCTGCATCTAGTGAGATACAAACAAGACATTTGGTCATTTCCATTTGTCAGCAGAGTGTACATTGTGTTTCACGAGGTTATGTGTTTGTAACAGCGGTGTGGAGGTGGTGAAGGCATTAAAAAATAGCACTTAAAATATAAAGAAAAAATTATGATGTTGAGGGTACAATGTTTGCTTCTACTTCTATTATTGCTTTTAATGTGTGTAAAAAAAAAAAAACAACTCATCACTTCATTGCCATAATTCTTAACAGGTTTCTGAATCCTTACTGATCCACCGGTTGACAGATGGCAGGTTATACAGAGACAGAGAAAAATATTATCCTTTTATAACTAAATTCATTTTCCTCTGAGAAACAGCAGCTCTGCTGCTATGGAAATGAAGGTCACCATGGCAACAGTAAACAACCCCCAAGAATGGTCACTGAATAGGCTGAAAAGAACATCTGCCCCAGCCCAGCGTCCCAGCTGCCCTGGGGCGAAATTCACTAATAGTGCGATGATGCCGTGTGACAGAAGCTGCCGCCTGTGCCCTGTCCAAATAAATGAAGTGTGCAATTGAATTCGACATCAAAATGCCTTCCCTTGCAGATTACTGCCTCTGTGTCCGCTAAACCCAATGACTAATGATGGGGGAGAAGGGGCTCACACTTGTTGGTTTTTGTACAAATTACATACCAAAATATTCAATTTACTACTAATGGCTCCATGGCACTTTATTTTGGGTATTATGCTAGAAAATTACATTTTTAATGTTAAAAAAAGTACATTTTTTATACTTTATATGTGTGGTTTAATTCCAAGGAAGTGATACGATGTGGTCAAAAGAGGTCCACGAGCGATTAATGATATGGGCAATGCTGGTTCCAGAAGACAGGGTCTCAAAAAAAAAAAAAAAAAAAAAAAAAGGAAAAGAACTTGACTCTGAAGAATTTTTTTTTAAATTTTGCCTGCAGGATGCCTGTTACTTACACTCCATAATGGACTAAAAGTTTATTTAATAAGTACATTATATGAGAAACAAGTAAATTCACTTATTTAGCAACTCCAGGAGTGAAATTCCTAAAACAGTCACCATTTCCCACTGAAATTAGTATATATATTATGTATGTAAAGTTTATACATGATATATTAACTAATATCATTAATCATCAAATAATACATATTAGCTATTATACATAATAATATACATAGTTTATATATTTGGCAACTCTAGGGGTGAAATTCCTAAAACAATCACAACTCCCCACTGATATTTATATTATATATTAATATAATAATTATAATTCACATTATAGTATGTGTATTAATATTATATCTTAAGAAATATATTAACCATTTTATATAATAGTATACATATTAACTATTTACTATTAACTATTAAACTATGTATACTATTACACATAATCATTAACACAATATACATTATAAAACATAATATATATTATATATAATAGCATAGTTTATATATACTATGTAATAATAAACTATATATAAAATATTAGTCTATAATAGTTGTATATAATAGTTTATACTATATATTATAAACTGTATAGTTTATATATAATATATAATAGTTAATATAATATGTATACAATTATATAATAGTTTATATATAAGTTGATTGATTAGTTGAATGATTATATACATTTGTATATAAGATCATTCAACTAAAAAACTAAAAGTTCTCCCCACTGCCCCTGTGGCTCCCACCGCCCCTGGTCCCTTGGGCCCCCACAGGACCTGTTGCCCAGAAGCAGCACTCACAGCCCCAGCATTCCCGCTGCCTTCTCACAAGTCACGAGAGACACACAGTTCCTGAGGGGGGCTGTCAAGGACTCAGGCCTTTCCCTCTTGCTCCTCCTTTTAGAAAGGGCCTTTTCCTTTCTCATGGGGCAGCCAAGAAAACACACGACTTTTTCCCTGCCAACTCGGCTCTTTGCCATTTCCGAGAACCTAAGTGCTGTAGGTGACCGTGGTTGGCCTGGCTACAGGGTCCCCACCTCCACGGGTGACTCATACCCAGAGTTTTTCTGAGTGGCCAAGAGGTTTGCTGGGCTCAGAACAAGAGGAAACACAGGGAGGAAGTCTGGAGTCTTTTTCTACCTATATGGCCAGAAAATTAAAGTATTTCCGTATTCTTCAAAAACACATTAAAGGAAACTGTAGAGGGCTACAAATGCAAAGATAACATAGTAAAAGAAAGAGAAAGAGAGAAAGAAAACATCAAAGAAAAGGTATTCCATCAATAATCACACACGTGGGAGCATCTAAGTGGGGCATTCCTAAGGCACAGCTTGGGGCAGTGCTCTGGATCTGCAGGGCATCCACCTGTGACCCCCACCCCCACCCAGCCAAGCTAAATAAGACACATGAACTCTGAAAAATAAAAGCAGCGTGCTGAGGGACACGTCCCCCATCTTTCCTTCTAACCAGATGTGCCATGCTTGACGCCTCCACAGATAAAAATTCTGATGTGCTCATGGAACTCGTGCTGGTCTCCAGGCATTCAGGGCAGGTGCAACACCCAGCCTTCACGTGATCTCATTTGTAATGCATTCCTACAGCTCCGCTTTCCCTTCTTAAAGGATCAGTTCCTGAATAAGTAGCCCTAGGAGCAGAATGGAACACAGAGCAAGGCTTGGGATTCTCCTCTCTTAATATCTTGGCAAGCAAACCAGCAAACACAAGAACTACAAATGGTGGGAGAAAATGTAAAATGTAATTATGTGTTTATGCACACTGGCATACTACAGTGCCAGCCCTTCCCCAGGGGGATACAGTGAGTGCCATCCTTTCAAAAATCAACTTTACTGAGGAATGATTCAGATACAAGAACCTGTGCCCATTTTCAGTGCAGAGTTTTATAAGTTCTGACACCACCATTACCACCATAACCAAGATAAAGAGCACAGCCAAGATACAGATTTCTATCACCCCAAAGTTTACTTGCACCCCTTTGCAGACATATCTATCCCCGGTCTGGACAATCACTGGTTTGCCTTCTGTTATTCATCAAAGATGTGGTATCAGTAGTTCATTCCTTATAGCTATCACTGAAGAGTAGTCACTGAATGGATATACCACAATCCATTCACCAGTAGGTTGACAACTGGATTGTTTCCACTTTTGGATATCATGAAAAAGCTGCTGTGAACTTTTATACCTCTTGGAAAATTGTTTTCATTTCTCTGGGAAAATTGCCGGTAAATGTACGTTTGGCTTATAGAGAACTGCCACATTGTTTCCCAAAGAGGGCGTACCACGTAGGAGAGTTCCAGTTGCTCCATATTTTTTTTTTTTGCCAGTACAGTACTCAAAATTGTCAATCTTTAAAAACATTAGCCGTCTAGGGGATATGGAGTGATATTTCACTGTTGTTTTCATATGTATTTTCCTAACGACAAATAACCTTGAGAATCTTTTCATGTGCTTAACGACCATTCATGTATCTTACATGAAAAGTCTGTTAAAGTCTTTTACCCATTTTTAATTAGGTTATTATTATTACAACTCATATTATTCAGTTGTAAGATTTTAAAAAATATTCTGAATATAAGTTCTCTGTGAGATACATGTTTTTTCTTAGTTCATGGTTTACCTTTCGGTTTCTTAGGAATGTCTTTTAATAAGCAGAAGTCTTTCATTTTTATTTAGTCTAGTTTATCACTTTGTTCTTTTATAGCTTAGTGTCTTTTGTGTCCTAAGAAATCTTAGCCTACCTTAAAATTGCAAAGATTTCCCAAGTATCATCTTTTTTGTTTTCGTTTGTGAGGTACTAGATATAACACTTTCTTAGTTCAATATCTAGGTTTACAGGTAAACGAAAACAGAAGTACATCACTCAGACCTCTTTCCTTATCCAGCAAGGAATAAGCAAGACCTAGCACTGTGTAGATCAATGCCAGAAGAACCCTTTCTGGCTCCTGGGGTGAACACCATGCAGCCTAATGAGCCTGACATTCTTCTGTGGAGAACTGTCCTGTACTCTCTGCTAGAACATCTCATACGCCTTTCTCCTTGTCACACCCTGACACCCTGTGAGTGCTTCTGTCTTCAGAGCCAACAACTTCCTGTCCCTCCTCTCCAAAGACAAGAGATGCCCATAATGCTTACGCTTATCTATTATTAAAATACTCGTTTTTCCCTCTTTTTAAAAATCATGAAAGTAATGTGTGCTCACTTTAAAAAAAAAAACACAAAACACTAGATAAATATAATTTGACAGATTAATTTGTCTTCCCTGCAGACCTACCTTCAAACTCAGTTTCTTGTATATATGTCCAGAAATTATGTGAAAATAAGCATATATGTATATATTCATTGAAATACTAACACACACACACACACACACACATGCACACAAATCTATTTTTTTAAAAATAGCTTTATATGGAAAAGAGTTTCTGCAACTCAAAAACTTAACATATTTCATCGGCCTTTTATATTAGTATATGCCATCAAAAGCTTTTCTACAGAGAGATTTTTGTGCATAAAAACACACTGCACTGTTTGTACAGGCATTCCCTTCTTCTTTAGATTGCAGACTACCAGAAGGCAGAAAGAAAGTGTTTGAGCTG